GGGTGTGTGTGTGTGTGTGTGTGTGTATCTAACAAGGTAGCCCAGGCTGGCCTCAAACTCATGATCCTTCTGCCTCAGCCCCCTAAGTTCTGGGAATACAGGTGTGTACCATCAGGTCTGGCTTTCTTTAAAAAAAGTTTTTAGAGGACTGGAGAGCACTGGTAGTTCTTGCAGAGGGCCTGGGTTTGGTTCTCAGCACCCTCATGGCGGCTAACAACTATCCACAACTCCAGTTCCACAGGAACCAACAGCCTCTTCTGACCTCCATGATTATGGCACGACATGGGTGTACTTACATATATGCAGGCAATATACTCATACCCATAAAATAAAAATAATAAATAAAATATTTTTTAAAAGACTCCATGGTCACAGCAGGGAGAATATTATTTTCCTGGTTCTTCCAAGGAATGTGGGTGTGGATCAGTGTAATGATTGACAAATGGCCTCATAGATCAGTAGGAAAATTTACAGACTAGGAAACTTCTCACCAATACTCCGTATTTGGCTTGGGTTCACTGGTAATACATGGAATGAAATTAGAAGGCTTTTCTGCTTACCTGACTTTGGGGAAAACAGGTGAATGCTATTTCCTGGGCTCCAATAAATCAATTTTAGACTTTCAAACAGAAGCCTACAAAAGGGAAGATGTGCTATTTTACTTCTGTCTTCCGAGAGTTAACTCTCGGTAACTAGGCTATTTGCTAATGTGCAGTTATTTTCTCATTACTGATTTTTATATTACTGCAGTTTTCTATTTGAGGTTGCCTCCTCATGCTCCTACTGTCATTCTTGATACCTAAATAGAATGCAAATGGGATGGATGGCAGAAGCTGTGTGAAAGCATGACTCTAGCTAAGTGGCTATTAAAGCTGAGCTCCATTATGCTAAATTAATAAAGACTGCTCCTTCATTCTCTCTCTCTAGAGAGGGCACCATCAAACCTGGAGACAGGTTGCTCAGTGTGGATGGAATTCGGCTTCTTGGAACCACACATGCAGAAGCCATGAGTATTCTTAAACAGTGTGGACAGGAAGCGACGCTGCTGATAGAATACGATGTCTCCGTAATGGGTATGTCAGAGCCCTTATGGGTTCAACCTCTTAAGCTCTAGTTCATGTCACTGTTCATTCCTGATAAACCACTTTGGATTAAATATGTACACCTGCCCTCCTGGAGCAGCTAGGATTTCATCAGTACTAATGTCATTTTACCAAGTTAAGGAAGACGTGAATTGTACTTTTTACTGGTGTAGAATTCTCAAGTCCATAGTTTCTATCAGAGAAACGCATTCCCTCAGCTCTTTCATATGGATGACCCTTTTGCAGCAAACTACTTTTCCCTTCTCGAATCACAAAAGCAGAGTTCTGCCTCTCTGATTTCCATGTCATGGCAAGATGGCCACAGTCTTAAGAATCTAGATTGACAAAAATAAACAAGACCGAATAGCTCCTCAAAGACTCTTAATGACTTGACTTGGAGGAGATGCTGATCACTGCATGAATCACTATGTATAGGAATATCTTCCCCTCTGTACACTTATAAAGGAGACAAGAATGCGTGTTGAATGCCACAGAGAAATAGCATTTCCCCTGCATTTCATTGACTCTTACGATCTATAGTTCCATCTCTTTTCTTGCAAACAACATAATTTCATTTTTTTGACTGAATAAAACTTATTTTTGTGAGTATGTATAGAAATATACATATAGATATATAGAGAGAGGTATAACATGAAAGTATAACCAATGCAATTTGGGAGAAGGAAGAGGACTAGGACGATAAAGGAACTGGAGAAGGATTAGAGGCTGAATATAGTCAAGGTACATGATATACTTGAATGAAATGTTTCCATGTACTAATTTTTTTTATTTCCCCAAGTAGAGGGTGTTGGATAGACAAAGAGTTTTAAGATATAATTAGATGTTAAATATTATATTCCCAACAAAAGAATATCAGGATTTCCTTTGCTTCAAATCTTAACTAGTACTTGGTATTTTATTATTTTTATTTTATGTGTATAAGTGTATTGCCTGCATGTGTGTAAGTGCACCCGTGTCATGCAATGCCTGTGGAGGTCGGAAGGGAGCATCAGATCCCCTAAAACTGGAGTTACAGACAGTTGTTAGCCACCATGTGGGTGCTGGGAATCAAACTTGGGGCCTCTGCAAGGGCAGCTAGTGCTCTTAACTGCTGAGCCATCTTTCCAGCCCTGTGTATTTGATAGTTTTGCCCACTTCATTCTCACCATTCTGGCAGGTGTGTAGTGGTATCTCAGTGTAAGTTTAATACACACTTCCTAGATGGCTAATAATGTGGAGTGCCTTTTTATTTGCCAATACAACGTTTATTGCTTTGATTTTTGCTTTAATACTTCCATTTAGTTATATACTAATATGAGTACACAAATTATTTCTTAGGAAGTGTGTATGTGTTTCCACAGCACTGGAACCTAGAATTAAATATGTTTTTAATAAACCTCAGACAATATGTTTTAGCAAATTAGGTGACATAAGAAAGCTATGAAACATTCATTTTGTTAACTGAGGTGGAATTTAGACTATGTTAACATTTTAATGAAATAAAGAAAAGTGTATGAAGGAGAGCTCTCAGGAAATTTTAAGAATTCAATTTCGAATATGTTAAGTTGGAGAGCTATGAGTGAACTATTGGGTGTTTTAGCCCAAAGTTCAGCACAAGTCAGGGCAAGAGATAAAATGTTGAGTCATCATCACAGAGAGGGGCCATAAAACCCATGAGGCCGAATGAAACATGAGAAAAATTATCTTGGACAGAGTTAAGGGAGTCCCAGGGGCTGAGCTCTCAGGCCAGCCAGCCCTACAAAAGAGGCTCTCCATCAGTGATGGAAACAGGGAACCAAGACAGAGTATGGAGTCATAGAGGCCAGATTTGTCCTACATAAAATGATGGGAATTGCAAATTTCTGTGATGGACAAAAAATTCTATGCATATATGGTGTATACCTCAGTGTACTCAGAACATGCAAATATATAGTGTTTGAAATATTTACATGGGAAAAAAATCTCTCCATTTTGATATTATTGAAATGTAGTTTAAAATGATTAGGAGAGGCAGAAAATCCCCATTGTTAGAAAAATAATATAAAGTAATAGGGAAGCATTAATCTCTAAAAAGAAAAATTCAAAAACAAAACAAAACAAAACAATGCCCATAATAGAATACAGAGTCTTTTGAAGTCAGATAAACTTGGTTTTGAATTGTAGCTCTCGATTAACTGTGGAAAATTTATTTCAGTTCTTCAGGCTTTCTTGTGTAGGAAGTCTTGTCTAAAATAGGGGTCACAATAGTTCTTCAAAGTATTGATGAAAGTATTAAGTAGGTAATTATATATAAAGGGTTCACCAGAACTAAACTGTTATTAACTAAAAGGAAATGAAAGTTGATTATTTTATGTTCCACTTTCTGGACTGAATCCCAGGTCTCTCATTGCCTTGCATTAAGATTTAGTGTTTGCTTTATCCTACAACAGTGTTGAATCCTTTCTAGAAAGAATACTTGGAAAATGATATGGTCTGGATAGTTTCATTTCTAAAAGTTCATCTAAATGCTAGTTTTCATATACTTTTACTGACAATGTTTCCAAATACGTTTCTGAGAATGCAGATTCACTTTGATATTTGAATCTTTGGTGGGGTAACACACAGTTATCTCAAGAATATTGTTCTGAGCATCAATCCTCAGATCAGTATTATAGTGTAAAGAAGTATAAAGATTTTGCCAGGTCTGTACTGACTTGGAACTTGCCCTGAATTTTAAAAAAAATTAAACAATTCTCTAATAGTTGTTCCTTACAACTTTCTTTCCTAGGAAGGACTACAGAGAGGATAGTCAGTAAACATGGAATTCTTGTTATCTGAGTTAAGCAAAGCTCACTGTTCTACTATTTAAATACTCTCTTCCTAAGACGTAGTTAATGGCTATAGTGATCTTGATAGATTTCAAATATAACCAACAAAGTATTATAGTTACTAATAAAGGTGAAGAGAAACTAAAATGTCCCTCCTGAGTGTTCTGAGTCCACTCGTTGTTGTGCCCAAACTTTACAAAAATGGATGATGGGTCGAGGTCAAGCCCACGTGCTCATTGGTCCAATGCATTTAGATGACTCAATCTCTCTTTTTCTTTACCTTTTGAATGAGAAAGGAAGACTCTGAAGCACTTTCTTGTTACCTCACGAGGGTCCTTACATTTTGATTTGCTTTGGTTATCTATGTATGCTTCTTCTGTGACACTGGGTTTCACAAACCCTGTGGGAATGCAAAACACATATTTGTTTGTATATTCCCGTTTGGTTATCTATGTATGCTTCTTCTGTGACACTGGGTTTCACAAACCCTGTATATTCCCATTACACCTCACACGGACAAACATAGAAGGCATTTAATGATAACTTCAGACAAACATAGAAGGCACTTAATAACTGTAGATTGCACAATGCATTTGCTAATAGATTAGCTGTCCTTGTGACCAATCGTTATTAAGTGCGTGTTTGTAGAATGTACCAAAACATCAATATTTATGGTGTAGGTTCAAAATTAAGTTATTTTATGATTTATGATTTCATCTTACAGTGCAGTGTAGCATTACAAAACTTTCAATCACAGCACTTCTTAATCTACCTATGGTGTTTTTCTGAATCCTAGAAGTATTTTAGCTCTCTCTTTCTAAATATCATTTTCTGCACTTATCTTTAAACCTATCATTATGTTCAGTTTGACTATACTAGCTTGTAAAACTAAGGATCTAGAGAACAGAAATTAGCCTTCTTTCCAAATGCCCGAGGCCATTGCATCTTTGCCCAGTTATGTGGATAGTCTTTATTCATATGCATTCAGTCCTGAGTAAACATAAAGTAGCAATTTTTAAATAAGTGTTTTAACAGAAGCGTGTTTGGATGATTGTGGGAAGCGGGCTCGGTCGAGCTGGCCAAGATGGCGCCCTGGCTGGCTGCCAAGCCTCGTGACCCTCACTTGTTTGCTCCAATTCGTAGATTGTGGGAAGCGGGCTCGGTCGAGCTGGCCAAGATGGCGCCCTGGCTGGCTGCCAAGCCTCGTGACCCTCACTTGTTTGCTCCAATTCGTGCAAGCGCTGTAAGCTTGATCACGTGCAGCCTGCCTGACATGCTACATCACCGAGCATGATTCTATTGTGTGTCCCAATGATTTGCTGTTCTATCTGCATGTTAGCCCAGTGCTCATGTCCTGATTATGTTCATATTTTGTTTTCTGACTCCTTGTGTGTCCTAAGTTACTTGGAAGCTGTGCATTTCAAGGCCTTTTGAAGTAGTTCCTATGTGGTACATGGAAAACATGTGTAATTTCCCTTCTTAGAAAACATCACAAACAGAAGTCAAGAGTTTCACAATTTGAATATTTCCTGGTTGGTGATTATTTGAATGTTACTAAATTCGAGATTTAATATATCATGTTACTGTGAACACTGTAGTATGCCTTCTGATAAACATATGCACATTTTTCTCGTCATACCTACAAGTCGAATTCCACTTTCCATTACTATAACAAATCCTGAGCTATGTCAACTTACAAATAGAAAAGGATTATTTTGACTCCTGATTTTGGAAGTTTTAGTCCAGGATCAATTGGCTATGTTTCTTCTGAGCCTGAGATGAGGGAACACATTACAGCAGGATGTGTGTGGTGCAGCACAGCTGCTCAGCTCATGTCTGGGGCATGAAGAAAAGGGAGACAGAAGATAAAACCAGGGTCCCACACTCCCTTTCAAGTTCGTATCTCCCCTCCACAGACTCCCATTAGACTCTATCTCTTAAAATTCCCACCACCTTTCAAAATCAGCAACTTGGAGTCCCTTAACACAGAGGACTTCAGGGGACATTTCAGATTCATAGCATCATCACAGGTATGCTCAGCGTGGGAGAGACTGACAAAGAACTTTTGGAAAGTAGTTGTAGTAATTAGCACTCCCATCAACAATTTTGCTCCCTTCACATCCTAGCATGCGGCCTTGTCAGTCTTTTTCATCTCAATCATTGTGATAGGTATGTGATATAATA